AAAAGTAACACGTGATTTTGCGCATTAGAGTAGCTGTCACCGTACAGTTTTTTTGTTTTGGGGCAATCGTGCAGTTGGCAGCGGTAAGTAAGTGTCTTTATCATTCCACGAGTTTCATCTTTATCAGACTTTATGCATGTAAGCAATTTTTCAAGACTTTTTTTTTTTTTTTTATAAAGGTAATGATTAAAAAATTAGTAGAGTTAGTTTATTAGCAGTTAAAATTTTTTAGAATGGTGAACATTCCACCCCTCGTATGAGACGCGCGGCCATTAAGTTACAAGTTAATGAAGTTCATGACAGTAGCACAACTCGAAATCTTGATTTTCGCCTTACTCAATCCCTAAAGCTGGGGAGCAACTATTAAGCCTCAGCCCGGTTGGTCAATTTCTCAAGAATTGTTTTTATCGTATCACTACTTTTATTCTTTTATCACTCTTTATGATGCACGGTTATGACTAATGGTAACATTTAGCATACTATTTATATTTATCATTAATATTTGTAAAATATAAATTTTTTTTAATAATTTAATGATTAATTAAAATAAGTGAATAATAATTAAGTTAAAGTAAAAAATATTTAATTACCTTAAAAAAAAAATAATTTGAGATAAATTTAAAATAAAAAAATGATAATTATTTTTGAAATAAAAAAAGTAATTATTATTATTTTTCATCTTAAAATGCATAATAAAAAACAATTATCTTTCATCACTTAATCTACCTTACTTACTTATATACACACATACATGTATATATATATATATATATTAAATTTTCACTTAAATTTTTTTATTGTAAAAATAAAAATTATATTAAAACTTCTATTATTAAATGCATGAAGTAATTTTTATTATTTATGCGATTGAAAAGCAACAATTTTAATTTTAAGAAAATGATACATTCATCACCTTCTGAACTAACATATATATTAAGTTACATACCTACATTTCATATATTAAAATACATTAATAGGCCATCATTTATGTTGGAACAAATTGCTTAAGATTTTGGTTAACCCACTACAAGATTAAGAAATTAATGAAATAAAAAAAAATGCACCACCACAAAAAAGACAAAATTTACTTGATTCAGCTCCAATTTAATTGAATTTACGTCCGCGGGTACTCATAAGGAAAAATTCACTATTAAAATAGGGAGATACAATTTGTGGTACTTTAAAAAAAAATACATAATCCTCAATTACACCCAAATTTTACTCTCAATATTTTTAAATGCGAGACACACTCAAAATATATTCAACAAAAGTAATTTTAACCACTTTGCTCTTGCTCACCCTTACCCAAAGCACTCACAAAACTCTTGTATTTTCTAGAGCTCACAAGACAATGACTGGAGTAGATTTTCAACCAAATTAATGAAATGGCTGCAAGGTCAAAATCCAACCATGCACAATAAATGCAATGGCCTTCAAAGTCTTAACCTTTAATTTCATGGATACATGCAGAAGCAAAATCCA